CTGCTGAAGGTAGTTCCTCTTTGTGCCTGCGTGCTCTGCATCACTTCAGGACCTGGAGGTGGTGCTGATCCTGCCCTCCAGCCGGTTGCGAGGGTCTCTCCTGGCTGGACAAGTGCCCTCTGCTCTGTGCATCCCCTACAGAGGCTGTGCGAGAGCGCAGCGTAGCCACAGTACGACTGTGGTGAGCTTTTCCCTTGGCCGTCTCCTTCCCAGGGGAGTGAGGAATGGCGTCCTCCTCCTGCTCCTTCAGCTTAAGATAAAGGAGGTGGTGCAGCGAAGATGCTGGTCTGGCAGATGAGCCAAGACTGCGGTTCATTTAGCGAAGGGCTGTATAGCAGCCTCGATGCAGACGCTTCTGCATGTAAAGCACTTCCCATCCTTCCTGAGTGGCTCTGTCTCACCATGACCTGTCACTGACTCACGTTGTCAGTGTGCTGCTGATGTCGTGGGTTGCATCACAGCATCAGTTCAGTATAAGGCATTTATTTTCCTGTCTACAGCAGAGTGAGCAATTTCATCTAGTTCCCTTTTCCAGAGCTTTGATTCCAGCCGCAAACTCCTCCCAACTCTACAAATTCACCTCCCGCGTTTAGGTTCCAGTCGGTGAAGCAGCGCAGGTAAACTTCATTAGCCATTGCCTGCTGCTGGTGCTCAACCCGCGCTTCTTCCCTGGGGACGTCACTGACTTCTGATTTTAAGGAAGGAGTGAGCGCGTGCTCACTCACGTGGATGACACAGTTGGCAGTAGATTTATGCAGGCGCCCTCCTAGCTGTCTCGGACAGCTGAGTGCTGGTGTCTGCAAAGGCCGCCAGTCTGAAATCTACCTGACAAACAGAGGTTGGATGTTGTGGTACAGCAGGGGTAATGGTGGTATCTTTCATCCACCTCCCGTTCCTTTTCTGATAGGGTTTTGAACCTGTGGCTGAGGCGCGGACGTGTTGCCTGTGTTGGGAGCGTGCTGCCAAGCTACGCGGCTGATGGCAAGCACGCACGCGCCTCCATCAGTGCTGATGGCTGTCGCTGCAACGAGTGACCTGCACGGTTCTGATTTTGGGATGGGGGATGAGGGAGAGCAGGCAGATGAACAGAGAGCAGCTGTACGGCCTTGTGGTCATTACACGTGGCTTGAAGGGCATGAAGACAGAAGGCTGTAGGGTGAATCCTGGGGTGTCATCCTTGCTCTGGCCTTGAGGTATCATCTTCATAAAACAATAAATCATGGCGTTCATGGATGCAGAATTGTGTTTACATGTGCACACACTATACAGCCCTTCAATGCCCCTCTTCTCTGGCAATCTGTCTTTAGTACAGCTGCATAAAGAACAAATAGATTTAAATTTTGGAAGGTCTTCAGAATGGTTCAGTCGTGGCCCTTCTGCTTCTCCCAGACGTTTGGCCCTCTGATGTCTGTCTTTGGGTTAACAACAGCCCTGCTAAAAGTGCTGAGAGAGCTTTCTGAAATAAAAGTGGCCGTGACCTGACTGACTGACTGAAATGGGGTGAAGGAGGTGCTCGCTGAAGTTTTGGTGTGGTTAATTACTCTATACTGCTTCTGGCTGATGGGCCATGTCATCAGTTGCATTTGTCTGCAGTGTTCTGGAAGGGCACAACCGAACCTCCGCATCAGAGCGCTTTAACTGGATACAACCGTGGGTTTGTTCCACTTCAAGGTCTGGATGTTACAGCTCGGGGCAGCTGCCAAGGTCCCCAGTTGCTAACAAGAATACGGTTCCTTGTGTGTGTGAGACTCCCTTCAGCCAGCATTCGCCGGGGAATCTCTGCGGGTTTGGAGGTTCCCACCATGAAGACAGCCGGGGTGGGCATTCAGTCTTCAAGCATTTAATTTAAGAACACTCGAGTGAGAAGA